GTGGGGTGCGGGTGGGGGTGGAGTGGGCAGGCTTCCCGCTAAACTTCAAGGATGCCTGGTTCCTGTGCCTGTCTCCGTCCAATCTTTCATTCACACCCGTGACTAATCCTCTCAGTTTCTCCATCTAGACATTGAGGAGAAACAGCTCTGCACTGCCCTTCCCGGTGACAGTGCAGCCGGAGGACAGGGCCTTCGGGCAAAGGGTGCCCAAGGTGAGGCGTCTGACACAACTTTTCTGTGGCGGCTTCCAGGCCCCAGAATGAATGGGAGGGTAAGCAGGGTCTGTGCCCACCCCCTCCTGCCCTCCTCCCACACCGGGCCTGCCCAGCTCACCCGGGCCCTGGGCCACCGCGTGCACCAGGCGCTGCACCGACTCCAGCAGCTGGCGCTGCTGGCTCTGCAGGAGGCTGGAGTTGCTCCTGGCCACCCGCAGGCTGCGCTCGAGGTTGGCGAGGGCGCTGTACTGGCCGCTCAGCAGGCTCTGCAGCTGCTCCTTCTCCTGGCGGAGGCTGGCCAGCTCCTCCTGCTGCTGTGTCTCCAGGGCTTGCACCCGGGTCTCCAGTGCGCTGCAGGGAGGGGTGCACAGGGGTGAGCCTGCCATCCCCACCAGGCAGCCACACTTGAACACTTTCCCTTGGTCCCCGGGTGACTCCGAAGTACAGACTGGCTCTGAGGCTCACAGAGGTAGTGTCCAGCCAGAGCTGCAAAGCCCAGAGGTCCGTGGCACAGAATGAGGAGTGGAGGAAAGAGAGACTCAGCCCTGGAGTAAGATGGATTTGGGCCCAGTTGAGAAAAGAGGTGGGGTGGGAGGAACATGCCAGCAACCAGTAGCCACGATTAAATCCCAAATCTGTTCGCCCTTGGATCCAGCAGTCGACTCTCGGGAAGTACCGTCCGGGGAGCAAGGGCAAGAATGTCCGCCGGGGGATTTGTCGTCATAGTGTAAAACGAAATAGCCTAAATGCCCAACAGCCAAGGCTGGCTGGGTCTGTTCTGCTTGGTGTTCCTGGGACTATTCTGGAGCCACGAAGAGGAAGACGGCAGAACCACTTGCACAGAATTGGAAAGATGCCCAGGATTTGGTGAGGAACGACCCTGGCACCCCAATGCCTCTAGTCTAACCCCACAGGTGGGAGAATAAAAAAGAGAGAAAGAAAAAAAGTATTAATGAAAATGCAGACGGTTGCAGGTGAACTTACAGGAAAAGGCAGGGGGAAACACGGAAGGACACAGTGGTGCCTGCGTTGTAGAAAAGGTGAAAGAAAATCCACTGAGCGCTGCTCCTTCTGCAGGGCAGGTTTGAGTGAGTGGAGGGGAGAAAGCGCCTGGGTGCCGGGAACCAGCTCTCCCTTCCTTTTGTACAGGTCTCTGTTGCCTGATGATCTAAGCACAAGGCATTTTTGTAATGAGTTGGAAAAAAGTGTTTAAAAAGAAAGAGGCTTTTGACTCAGCCTTTCCACGTGGAGCATTTTATCTTACAGATTTGCTCACGAGTGTGCAATGAGACATGGAAAGCCATTCATCGCATCGTTGGCTGCAAGTGCAAAAAACTGGAAACAACCTCAATACCCATTAATTGGGGATGTGGAAATAAATGCAGGGACAGCCATACAGCAAACAGGCAGTTGGAGAAGAGAACGATCGAGGCTGTCATGCACGCATAGGACCATTTCCAGAATAACTGGAAACAAACAACCCCCAACACCAAGGTGCAGAAGAGTAGAACGCTACGTTTGGGTTTAAATAGGGCAGAAAGGAACTATTCATTCATATTTATAAGAAACCTAGACTATCAGCTTCTAGAATGTCAGCTCTACTAGGACAGGGATTTTTGTCTATTTGTTCACTTCTCTAACCCCTGGGTCTAGAATAGTACCTGACACATGGTAAGAGCTCAAAAAAAGAAATTCCCCCCTCCCCAAATACTGGTTGAATGATGGAAGGGCACACAAGAACTAGGAACAGCAGCTACCTCTGCTGTGGGTGGGCAGGTGGCTGAGGGAAATGGATAGGAGGGGGAGATTTTCTTATACGTGAGGCTATGATGACCCATTCTCCAGACTAAAACACTAAGTCCAGCTGAGGCAGAAGGGATTTCCCCTGGATCCCAAATTATGTTGCAGGAAGAGAGGGAATGTGGGCACACTCAGATTCTAGAACTTCAGCCACCTCCATGGGCCAAGAACTTATTGATGACATCCATCTTCACTCATTTCTAGGTACCTGGTGCCAAGTTGGAGTGATGGAAAGTGTCCCAGTTCTTGCCCCCCCCTTGGAGTGGGAGAATAAGAAAAAGAAGGTGACAAACTATCATTACTGCACCCAGATCGGAGGGAGCTGGGCGATCCTTGTGGCCTTATCTTGACCCATCATGTGAGCAGCAATAACACCTCGCCCTGTCTGCAGGCCTGTGGCTGCCTCTGTGTGTGGGTTCTGCCTCCCCCAGCTCTCTGACTGTGGCTGTTTTTTCTTTATTCAGCTCGAAACTGAGATGAAATCAGACTTGGGTGTCTGTCTTAGCTATACCCCATGACTCTTTTTTTCTTTGTAATTTAAAGGGTGTTTCTCTCATGTGTATTTGCTTATAAACACAGAGACTCTCCACCAGTGCAGACAAGAAATTGGTAACCGTGGGTGCTTCTGGGAAGGGAAATTGGTGAATGACATCAGATTTATTTTTTTACAAGTAAGTAAATCAAATTAAAATTTACAGGGCAAATTGTATGGTATGTAAATTGTAGCTCAATAAAACTTAAAAATTTATAAAATAAATAAATGGAGAAAGGAAGAAAGTAAGAAAAAGGAAGGAAGGAAGGAAGGAAGGAAGGAAGGAAGGAAGGAAGGAAGGAAGGAAGGAAGGAAGGAAGGAAGGGAGGAATCAGGGTGTCCTGAACTCCAGGAAAATGCCTGTCCCCTGTCCCCAACCAGGGCTGGATAACCAGGCCCTGTACCTGTCTGGCCCCCAGCTCCAATCTCAGCCCAGCCCCAGTGTCCACCTTCACTCTAAGTTCAGTCTGGTTTCCAACCCTAATTTTTGTTCTTACCACTGCCCTGACCCAGTCCCAGCTCTAGCTCCAGCTCTAGTCCCCAAATGATCCCGCACTACAGTCTTAATCTAGGCCCCTAGCTCTGTCTCCAGCCTCTGTCCCAGGCACTAGCCCAAGTCTAGCTTCCAACCCTGGCCCTGGCTCCAGCTCAGCCCTGGCTCCCATGCTCACTCAGGTCCCAGCCCAGCCCTGGCCTTCAGCTGCGCCCTAGCCCCTCTCCTGGCCCGGTGCCAGCGCCCACCTGTTGTAGCCCTGCAGCCGGTGGAGCTCATGGCGCTGTAGCAGCAGCTGCTTCTCCAGCTTGTTGGTGGACAGTGAGGTCTCCTGCATCTGGATCTCCATTCTTGATGTCTGGTTCAGTACCTGCCTCCACAAGAGGGGGGTGGGGAGCTATGTAAGCCCTGCAGGAGGCCTGCCCAGCAGCCGCCCACCTGCCCACGGGCTCTACCATTCCAGAAACTTGCTGATCTATTGTCACTCCCCCAATAGTTCCTGTGGTTGTTCACTCACTCACTCACTCACTCACTCACTCACTCACTCAGAGGCTCTAACCGAGCTTATGATCCGCTTGCTAAATTTGCTCTTCCCATCACTGCACATGGCAGCTCCATTCCTTCTGCTGCTCAGGCCCTGGAGGAGTCACCCTTGACCCCCCCACATCTAACCCATCAGTGAGTACCACCAGCTCCATCTTCCAAATGGCTACCTGACCACTCCCCTCCCTGTCCATGGACCCTGCTCTGGCCCTGACCTTCGTCATCTCTGACCCTGTGTCCTGTGCTGTCTTACTCATAGGGCTCCCTGTTCCTGCCCTTCCCCTACAATCCACTCTCTGCAGCCTGAGGCAGCCTTTTAAAATGGGGCCCCTCTGCTCAAAATCTTCCTGTGGCTCCCACATCACTATGAAAAAGTCCAGTTCTTGCCATGGCCTGCAAGGGCCTGTGAAGCCATCTGCTCCTGACACCTCTCTGACTCCTTGCTCACCACTTGCCCCCTCACCACTCCAGCCACACTAGCCTTCTTGATGTTCCTGGAGCTTGGCAGCCTGGTTCCGTCTCTGGGCCTTTGCACATGCTGTTCGCCCTGTCTGGACTGCTCTCCCAGTAAGGGCTCCAATCCTACCTTCTCAGTGGCGCCTTCCTGGCCTCACTGTCTAAACCTGCAACTCATCCTCTGGCTACCCCACAGCACACTCCCTACCACTCTCATTGATGCTATTGTCTCCTTAGCACTATCACCATCTGAACATATATGTTGTTTATCCTGTTCATGTTCTTGAAACTCCTTAGAAAGGAAGCTCCATGGGGGTAGGGGTGCAGGCCTGCTTTATTTAGTGCTATAAGCTAGAACCAGGCCCCTCCAGCAGTGTCTGACACATAGTAGGGGCTCAACAAGCACGTGCCCATTTGCCAGTCACCTTTTCACCCATTTACTTCCTCACCCCTCCCCCCCCTTACACAGCTGCCTCCTCTCAGTCATTGGCCCCCGAGGTCTAGTGAATTGTTTATTATCTGTCTCCCCTGGAGCACTGTGAGCCCCTTGAGGGTGGGGAGTGTGCTGCCTGCTTCATCCCAGTGCCCTGCACAGATCCGGGCACTGGAGTCGCAGAGGCCAAGAAGCCAAACCTAGCATCACTCGTAGGACCCATGGCCTGGTGGGAGACAGCTCTGTGACAGGGTCATTGGGAGGGGCCCCAGGGGGACACAGGCCCAGAGGAGGCCCTGACGTCACTCGGGAACAGAGGTCAAGGCAAGATGACCTGGGCTGTGGGCCAGCCTGGCCGGCCACAGGCCCCCCAAGGCTGCCCGCTCACCCGCTGGTACCTGAGCCTCCACGTCAGTCAGCTTGCGGGTGTGGGCGGTGGTCTGGTTCAAGAGGCTGGTGCCCAGCTCCAGCATGGTGGCCATCTGGTTCTGGACCACGTGCTGCCGCGCCTGCGCCAGCTCCGACCTCAAGTTCATCTGGATGTACCTTTCTAGCTGTGGGGAGACCATGGGCTGAGGTCATGGGCAGGGACTGGGGGAAGGCTCCTGTCCCTTCCATGTGTCTCCATGAAGGACACAGAGCGACCAGGAGAGGCCTCCCTGCCGCGCCAGGCCGCCATCACCTCTCGCCTGGACTACTCCAGCAGCTTTCTTCCTCGCCTTCCTGCCTCTGCGTTCGTCCCTCTCTGCCTAGTCCATCCTTCGCTCAGCAGCCGGAGGGATCTTGTTAAACTAAGTCAAATCCCATTCTTCCTCTGCTTAAAACCCTCCCAGGGGCCCTATCTTACTCAGAGGACAAGCCAAAGTCTGCTTTGGCTGCAGCTTGCTGTGTGACGACGCGACCTCCCGCCACCACTCTGATTTTCTCTTACTCCTGTCTTCCTCACTCTCTCCAGAGGCACCGGCTCTGTGACATCCATCTAACACAGCAAGCCTGCCTCAGGGCCTTTGCACATGCTGTTCCTGCTGCCTGGAAACCCCTCCCCCCACATCCCCATCGCATGGCTCACCCTCTCACGTCATTTTAGGCCTCTTACCACTTATCAATCCCTGACTTTAGGTTACATATTGATCTGTCTATTGCCTGTTTTACCCTTGGAACGTCAATTCCATGAAGCTAGAACTGATCCTGTGTACCGCTTTATCTTTATGTCTAGCACAATGCTTAGCGTGTGCTGGGTGCTCAATAAATGCGTGTTCAATGGACTGATAGAAAAGGGGAAGCAGTAAGGGTCAGAGCATAGCCCCTAAAGCCCGTTATCCGGCTGCCTAGGGGAGAGCCAGCAGCAGAGCGTGGGGACACATCTTTCTTAGTATAAGAGTTTGCAGGTCCATCTGCCAAACTGGACTTTTTATTTCCTGGCCCGCTCCATCTGCCAAATAGGGCTGATCCGGCCAGCCTCCAAGGGTTCTCCCAGCTTGGAAGTTCTGGGATCCGACAAGGTATCGTTCATTTCTTTGACAGGGCTGCTTTTTCCCCAGGAGCACGAGAAGCTGGTCTGGCAAGTGACACCAGGATCACGTTGCAAAGATGAACAGTGTGTTCTCAGGGCTCAGTGCCCCTCCTGTCCTCCCTCTCCATTCTGCACGCATGCTGGCCTCTCCCCCCCCCC